ACAAGTTTACAAAGTTTCAGGTTAGTTAGGACAGAAATATAGAGTATTACAACAAATTAAATTCACGTCCTCTTATTTCTCCAAAGACAGTCAGCTTGGTAAGATATACAAAATAAATAAATAAATAAATAAAAAACAGTTCTAATTCAAACATTTATTAGTTTCCTTTTATAAGATTTTAACCAATCTTTCTTTATTATCTTTATCATTTCAAGCAATTTCTTTCACCTTCTAAGTTTTCCATTCATCAGTTACTGCATTCATCCTGTCAGTTATTGAATGTGATTGTTAGAGCTGTCATTCTATTAACCCATTGCCGCCGGGGATGGCATGTACATACGTGCCATGCCCACTGTGAGTCGACTTGTTCGATTGTTTTTACACATAGATGGCTACACTTGTACTAAGTATCCAATGAGCCAATTACGAGTACTGCCTGTCTTGCCCGTTCACCCTTGTCATCGATTTATGAAAATATTTAACGTTATCCTAATTTGCTGTTAAAAATAACACCATCTATATTTATAGCACTTGTAAGAATACGTTTTTTCCCTCCAATTCGAGGAAAGGTGAAATCAGGACTAGCAGAGCCATCCATGGGCAGAGATATTTCACAAAAATATAAAAGATGAGTACAGAATTTTCCCCATTTTTTGTTCATTTTCCCCGGCAGCAATGGGTTAAGTTAGCTATGTGAAGTTTTGTATGATTCTTTGAAGAGACGTTTTTAGAAATGCCAAAAGGGTACAAATCACAAATACAAATTTGGATTTATCAGTTGTATAATTCACATCCCTTTACCCTGAAGGTCTGATTAGAAAAGGTAAAGTTTGATCTTAGTTCTATCTAGTGACAATTTAGGGAGAAGGTGCTATTCAGTTCTTTGCCATTTTTAGAACATGTTGGTTGAAATGCTGGAACATTTTCTATATTCCTAAAGATAAAATCAGTAAGGTTAGCAAAGTGGATTTTGATGCACTGGGTGTTAGTGGTAAATATCATAATATATTCCCCTCTTTTCAATTAATTTGGAACACTTTTCATCAAAGTAAAGCAACAGAACATATTTCAGGTTGAAATAATACAATTACAAAATGATAGGGTTCAAAGAGCATATGTTTCAAGGGTTTAACCCAATGGCGACGGGTGATGAAAAAAAAAAATAACTCCATGGCAGCGCGCCGACTTTGAGCGCGTGAGTTTGGAACATCAGGCCGAATCACTGGCTCGCCACTCTTTGGCGCACCACCGCAGCATACAGCCGCACGCTACTTTTCAAGTGGTTTGTTTTTATGCCTAGCGGCGTCACCCATTGTGAAGGGGTTAAGTAACAATGATGAGAGATACTCAAATAACATCTTTAAAAATAAAAAAGCACCCTTTTGAAACTTTACAATGATACGATTTTATAGAAAATGCAGGAAATGAACTCACATTATTCAGAATTTTAAATGAAAATAATCACTTTACTATGGTTACAAAATTCTAAAATCACAACTTAGGCATTTCTTCCACGTACAACATGCGATTTTGTTATTTTTCTGAACAGTATATGAAATGTAAGAATGCTATAGATACATCGCTAAGGAGATTGAAAAGCTCCCTCTCACTAAAACTATCCATGGAGAAGATTCGTTTCCCTCTAAAGGATACCCGAAGGTGCTAAATGCTTTCATAACAAATTCGCACCATTAAACATACATTTCCAAAAAACATTCTATAGTGGAATTAAATCATAACAATGCTTTCTTAAATTCTAATAGACCTGCAAGTAATAAACACATTCCAGTCTGACTAAGGTATCACAAATATAGATAAAGAATCAAATAAATAAACAGGATAGATCATTCACCACTACTTCCTAATACACTTGTTATTAATACAATATTTTCTAATACGTTTATTATAAATGTAAAATACTTCAGACCCGGAGATGAGATTCGAGTGGATACGAGCCATAATTATTATTAAAACTACTAATATTACGCTAATTAAACACTCAACCTCCTCTCGCTATTACCTGGGGATTCTCCGGAAGGATGCTTAACAGGTGACTCCATCTTCGAGTCTTATTCCAGCCGTAAATTCATCCTTTTCTTCCAAAATCCGTCTCTTTTTCAGAATCCTCTCGTTTGTAAACAAGATTGAGGGCGAGTTCGGAGAGTCCCGAGAGGGTGTTAGCCAATCGTATCCTCACTTTGAGAAAAGAAGCGTTTTGATTGGTCAGAATTGAAGGCGAGGAGGTGCGTGTGGTCGAATTAACCAATCAGAGTGAAGCGGGGAAGAATACTGCTTTCTTATTGGTTAATATAATTTTGGTGCGACAGATCAAAGATAAATTGTCCAATAATAATGGAGAAAGAAAGAATATTTCTCTTTCATTTGCTGACACGATTCGCGGGCGCGTTTAGTTGATCATGAACTTTTACTCTTTAATTTTATTATTATCATTATCCTATTGTTATTGTCATTGTTACTATTACTTTTGTCATTTTCATTATCTTCATTATCATTATTGTTATTATTAACATCATTATCATCATTACTTTTATTACCACTAATATAATTATAATTATAATTACAATTATTGTTATTATTATTAATATTATTATTATTATTATTATCATTATTACTTTTATTATCATAATTATTATGATTATCATCATTTTTGTTAGTCATTATTATTTTTATTATCATTATTATTATTATTTTCTTATTATTATTATTATTATTATCAGTTATTGTTATTATTATCATTTTCATTATTTTTGACATTATTATTATTACTATTATTATTACTATCATTATTATTATTACTATTATTATTACTATTATTATTATTATTACTATTATTATTACTATTATTATTATCATCATCTTTATCATGATCATTATTTTAATTATCATTTTATTATCATTATCATTATTGTTACTATTATTTTCATTTTCTTTATTAGTATCATTGTTATTACTGTTATTATTATTATTCATATATTATCCAAACTTACTCATCTCTTTTGAAAAACTATTTACTTTTCATATACAGTGGGTAATGGTAATAATGAATTTCATAGATTTTTTTCTGAAGTATCCAGTGTTCATATTGCATTTGCATATATGATTAATAATCGATAGTTCACATAGCCAATGCAGGTTTATTCTGATTGTACTTATGCAATAATGGATATATTTGCAACTCTTTTGTTGTTGTTTGTTCACTTTCTCCACTGGCCATCTGTTTATTTCAACTTTACATTGGAAGTTTGCTATTTAAGTATACAGTATGTATCACATTTTTACTATTTCATTTTTATCAACTATAGATAGCAAATGGAAACACTGTATTGGTCTTACAATTCATTACTGTCAGGTAAATAGAAAATGCTCAAAATATTCATGCCTTATAATCTGACTCAGGAGAAATATACATACATATGTAACATCAAAGTCACCTCGAAGCTTTGAATAAATATAAAAAGGTTATGATCAATTACAGGCATGTAAATAAAACAAAAACATAGATACAGAGAGAGAGAGAGAGAGAGAGAGAGAGAGAGAGGGAGAGGGAGAGGGAGAGGGAGAGGGAGAGGGAGAGGGAGAGAGAGAGAGAGAGAGAGAGAGAGAGAGAGAGAGAGAGAGAGAGAGAGAGAGAGAGAGAGAGAGAGAGAGAGAGAGAGAGAGAGAGAGAGAGAGAGAGAGAGAGAGAGAGAGAGAGAGAGAGAGAGAGAGAGAGGGAGAGGGAGAGGAGAGAGAGGAGAGAGAGAGGAGAGGGAGAGAGAGGGAGAGAGAGGAGAGAGGAGAGGGAGAGAGAGAGAGAGAGAGAGAGAGAGAGAGAGAGAGAGAGAGAGAGAGAGAGAGAGAGAGAGAGAGAGAGAGAGAGAGAGAGAGAGAGAGAGAGAAGAAGAGAAGAAAGAAAGAAAGAAAGAAAGAAAGAGAGAGAGAGAGAGAGAGAGAGAGAGAGAGAGAGAGAGAGAGAGAGAGAGAGAAGAGAGAGAGAGAGAGAGAGAGAGAGAGAGAGAGAGAGAGAGAGAGAGAGAGAGAGAGAGAGAGAGAGAGAGAGAGAGAGAGAGAGAGAGAGAGAGAGAGAGAGAGAGAGAGAGAGAGAGAGAGAGAGAGAGAGAGAGAGAGGTTCATATGCATGCATGCATATAAACAAACATACATACATACATACATACAGGTATATACATACATAAATCATAAATACATACAGGTACACATACACACACACACACACACACACACACACACACACACACACACACACACACACACACACACACACACACACACACACACACACACACACACACACATTCATCCACTCTTATACATTACAAAGTTATAACTGAATAATCAAAATTCATGAGTTCAAATAATAAAAGTATCACAGCTGTACTCCTATTCAGTTCATGTTTAGAGCAGCTCTGCTTTTGTACTAAGTATCTGCAGAATGATTTAAGAATATCATTGCTACTGTAATATTTTTAACTAGTTTCCAAAAGACGTTATTTATAAGCATATTCTAGCTTATATACACAGACAGACTGACCAAAACTAAATTTCATTTCTTTTTAATTAGTAGACTTTCATTCTACTTTCTGAGTGCCATGCCTGTCAGTCACGCAGCAGTTGCATTCCTTCTTATCCAGCTCCCTCAATTATGACATTTTGAGACAGGAACTTATTGAGCTGAGTCGTTGATCTGATTGATTCTAACCTTCTTTTCATTGCATCCACTGCCTCTGATGTGTCTTCATCTCCATACTGATTGATTACCTGGAACAAGACATCCTGCAAATCTTTGATACCTTCTAATGCTTTCCTAAAACTATTTTTGCTATTGCGTGAAATCTGTTTTGATTTTGGAGTTGCTTTAGGCTTCTGGAAATCCCTCAAACCCCTCACACCAAGAAGCAATGAGAGAGCCATCAGGAGCAACTTTCTGCATGTCAGCAAAATCCTTCAATGACGACAATTGTTTCTTGCCAACTGCTACACTAGCAAGCCACTGTCGATTTTCTGGAGTACTTCTGAAGTCCTGTGGTAGCTGCTGGAGATAAGCTTCACAACAATTTATCAGATGCTTACATGCATCTCCCGTCTGTCCTTTTGCACAGTTACAAGTACCACTGGTAAGGTCAACATTATACTGAACATCTTTATTACAAATACTCTTCACAGTAAACTTGCATCTATCTGTTTCTGTACAGTTACCAACTCCACTGTATCTCCTGATTATTGGGCTGCTTCTCATTTGGGAAAGAGCCACATCAAAGAGGGACTGCCTCATGTAACCATCATAAATTTCATTCATAAAGATAATCAGATGGCTTGTTGTGTATGATATGCACCTAGAATATAAATAAAAGGAGTTAATGTTCATGTATCTTATATAAACTTACATATAAATACGAACAAAAAAGTATTCAATTCTACTATCTCAACATATCTATCAGAATAAAAGTTATAACACAGATGGGTTTGTCCAATCTATTTATACAAAAGCATCTTTGGACATCATTTCTAAACAATGTTGAACTCATTAAACCTCTCCTTACCTGTTGTGGATAATATCTTTAATGATGCACATAGTGGACTCAGCAATGTTGTTTGTATGTTGGTCAAGTAGTACTTTCTGCTTCCCATAGGCTATACTCCATTCTTGTTTCCTCTCCACCAGATTTGTGAGATAACTGATGGTAATTAAAGGCATTAAAAAAAGGTTATGGAGTACTTGGTTCACAAAAGACTGATTCTGTCCAAACTGCCAGAAATCTAAAATTTTGGCATTTCACAAACTGACAGATATATAAAATTAACTGCATTAGTTTGTATTACTGACAATGAATATGGGAGAAAAGCTTGTGAGGAACTGGCACTCATACAAACTTTACATCTGACCCTAACCAACCACCATGATTTATTCCATTCCTGGCAACTACTATACAGATGGAAATGCAAGCTGAATGTTGTTTTCAGTTTTTATTTTTCTCATTCTCATTTCACCTACCATTTCCTTACCCCTCTCTCTTCCCCAGTCTCACCTTCACCTTCACTCTCTTTCTCTATCTCATTCATTCAATCATTCATGCCCCACTCTTTTTACTTCTCCCTTTTCTGTTCCTTTTCCCTCTTCCTTTCTTCTTCTCATCACTCACTTTCACCCTCACCACACCATTTCTATTTCAACCAAAAGCATATGTGTCTGTGTACATTAGGCAACTATTTATTAACAACTTTAAGAATCTATAACCCTTTCGTCAAATTTGCATTACTACTCCCATAACCCTTGCATCCTTTCTATAATACAGTATGTCACAAGATCACCTAAAGATGGGAAATTACCTGTTGTATTTGACATACTGCTGGAACTCTGTACTCTGAGAAAAAGATTCCCAGAAGTATTCAAAGTTATCCGGAGAATCTGCATATACCAACTGTTGTGCAATATTCATTAGCTGGGGATGATGCTCCTTTTTGACTTCATAGGACTCATCACAGAGGCATTGCCAAACCTGCTGAAGGACATGGTAGTTGCTAATGGAAACCTGAGATTCTGGCCAAATGGCCTTTAGTGCTTTTTGTTCTGATTCGATTCTGTTGGTTCGGAAACAATTTGGATATTCTTGCCGATAAAAAGCAGCCTTGCCCAACATCTTCTTCAGCATGTAAAATCCTAGAGGAGATAATATGATTATCAAAAAAAGAAAAAAAAAAATGCAAGAGAAAAACTATTCTATAATTTAAATTACTGTCTAATCACAAAGCATTTCATATTCTTTTATTAATCCCTTCCATGTCTCATTAAATTCACATATGCAACCCTTGTGATGTACTCAGACATTTGCCAAAGTGAACTGCCATCATATTTTACAAATCACCATTAACCTACTATTAATAAAATTTACAGTACCTGCTGTATAACTTTCTTCTTCTTGGGAGGATGTAAAAATTACACCCAAGGGAGCAGCACCAGCAGGTCCAGCACAAAGAAGACATGTCACTGCTGTGTTTACTTCATTTACATGGCAGGTTGTGTCTACAAACACCACATCACCTGCTTCCTTGAACTCTTTATGCACTCGACGCATGAAATCTGTTATCAAAACAGCTGTGAATCCATTTTCACTGACCTCAACTTCAATCGTTGAAGACGGGTTTTCCTTTGCATATTTGCCAATCACAGAATGCATGCTCAGGTCATCAGTGCTATCACACCTTTCATTTAACCACAGATTGTATACAAAAGATATTTCTCTACTAGTTGAATTTATGGCACCATATCCCATGTCTGCAAGACGTAGATTTGTCTTGTCTTCATGAAATCTTGAAACTTGAGCAGCTGTCATGCCTGAAAGGAAAACAGAAAGGCAACACTTATAACTATTAGGATGAAAAGAATAAGAATAATAGATATTCATCATCAAATGTCTCCATTATCAAACCTGCTGTATCATTATATGCAATATGCAATTCTGTTATGTTAGAGACTAGTAAATCATAGCTACATAATGTGAAAAAATAACACATACCCAAGTCAAAGTACTTGAAAAACTCTTTTTTAACTGCTTTGATAACTCTAAGTTCATCAAGCACAGTGTGGTGGTTGTGATCACCCTTAATTGTGATGAAGCAAGGGTGAGTCTTTATATGTGGATCTTTTCTAATGGTATCTTTTGTGGGTATCTTGATCTTCATATACATCATTACGGGGCACCTTTCAAAGAGTTAAAGTATGAGAAAATTATATCTTGCTCCTTTCAATTAGCTGTTATTAGATGTTTCACAAAAAAAACAGGATCCCAGAGTTCACACAGGATTGAGAGCAAATTGGTGGTCCTACACAACAAAAAGGAGTAAAGAGAATTAAGAAATCAAATCTGAATAGACCAGTTATCCTTCCCAGCAAATATTCCAGATTACGGTGATCAGCCACCTTAAGAATCCCCTGTATAACCTGTCATGCAGGTGACTCATAGGTTTAAACCACGGAAAATTAATACTTTATTAATGCCATGAAATCAACGGTATCAACAGGATTAATATTATTGCATTAGAAACATTAAATAAAGTGGAATACAGGATAAATACATTAACCCATTCGCGCGGGGTGTCACGTATTCGTGACATGCCCACTGTGAGTTTACTCGTTTAATTGTTTTCACACATAGATGGTTACACTTGTACTTGTACTGCCTGTCTCGCCTCTTTACCCTTTTCTTTAATTTACGAAAATATTTTGCGTTATCTTATTTTGCTGTTACTAATGTTTATAACATTATAGTAATTATAATAAAAATAACCATCAATATTCATAGCACTAGTAAAAATACATTTTCCTGCCAATTCAAGTAAAGGTGAAATCAGGTAAAGCTGAGCCATCTAGTGTAGACACATTTCACAAAAATATATAAAAAATGAGCACAGCATTTTCCTCTTTTTTTGTTCCTTTTTACCCATCGCGAATGGGTTAATGTCCACTTGAACGATTTGGAGAACTGAAAACTCTAATAACCTACTGGCTTGAACTTACTTTGTGAATGTTTTCTTACTTTCCTCGTGCTGTCTATCTCCATAAGCACACTGGTACATTCCACAGAAAATTAATCTAGCTGCGGAGTGGCTTTTCTTGCAGGTAAAATGGTAGTCATGTCTCTGGCAATAGATATCCATCCACAACAATGCATCCTCTTTGTTTCCTGCATTCGTCCTCAGGATAATTTTCTCCTTTTCACTAACAATAATAATGTTGTTGAATCCTTGATCCGCAAAGTTTAGAGAGGGTACTGTATTTCTGATCCCAGTAGATATAGGATTCCCATTTCTGTTTGAAGCAAAAATAAGCTTATATATAATGTGTATTAGGTAATAAGCTTATTGATATTCTAATGCAATGATTCCTGACACTTACATGTTCAAAGTACAAAATACAACTTTTCATATATAAAGGCATCATTTTTATACAAGTAAATATACATATATGGCAACATAAGGTCAACCTTGAAAGAATAACTTCAAGAAGATTGATGGAAACTAATATTATGACCATAATGATAATATCAAACAATGCTCTTACATACATGACTCTATATATATCTATATATCTATATTTATATCAATATATATATATATATATACATATATATAAATATATATATATATATATATATATATATATATATATATATATATATATATATATATTTATATATATATATATATATATATATATATATATATATATATATATATATATATATATATACATATATTCTTTTTGTATATACATTTATATATATATATGTATATATACATATATATAAATATATGTATACATATTTGTAAATATACATATATATATATGTATGTATATGCATACACATATACATATACATATATATGTACATGTATATATATACATATATACATATACACACTTATATATAGATGTATATAGATATATATGTATATGTATGTGCAAACATATATATACATATACATATATATATATACATGTATATGTATAAGTATATATATGTATGTGTGTATATATATATGTGTGTGTATGTATGTATGTATTCATGTATGTAAGTATGTATGTGTCCACACACATACACATACACATACACATACACACATGTACACACACACACACACACACACACACACACACACACACACACACACACACACACACACACACACACACACACACACACACACATAGGTAACTTCTGATAAACACAAATATATCTACAACTTCCTAACTTACTCTGAATTTGCAACCTCCTCCATTTCCATAAAATCTGAATTCTGCTCTCCTGCTGCGACAGAAGCTGTGTTCGGTGAGTGTCGGAGAGATGTGAAAAGACTGGAGCTTTTCTTCTCGTTTAACCTTCTTGCTCGCCGTTTCCAGTTCTGTTGGAAATAATCTTTTCTCGTGAATGAAACACAACCTTTATACTATGCAACAACAACAACAAAAAAACAACAACAT